AAAGATAATAAAAACTAAATATAATAAATAATAAAAAAATATATTTAATCTTATTAACAAACCATCTAATACCTATATTTTTTCTAATAAATAAATATATATTATAAAAACCAACAATAGTAAATAGATATAATATTTTAAAATATATTAAATAGTTTATAAAAACTATTAATAGTCTGGTTTTAACTTTAAGAATAACTATACTCTAATTCTAAATAATACTATTTTAAATTTATAATTATTATTATTATACTTTTATAATTATAATATATTTAGTATAATATTATTATAATATATTTTAATATTAAATTTTAGAAATAATTTATATATATATACTAACCAACAGGCCTCTGCAAATTATACAGTAAAGTCTAATATTTAAAAAAATATTATATAGTTTTAAATAAATAGTATTTTTTTTAAAATAAAATAATTAAAAAAATATTTTATATATTTAGATTTAAATTATTAAAACAAGATGCCTATATTTATATATATAGAAAAATAATTTTATTATTTTATATAAATAACTTTCTTTTTACTATATCTAATATAGTAGAAATTAAAGCTGTATTATATAAATTTAAAAAAATTATATAATTAAAATATCTTTGTAAATTAGCACAGTTTTTAAATAATTTAATATACTAAGATTATAAGATTAAAATAATAACTAATGATTAATATATATATATTAATAAACTTCTTACAGACTATAATATCACTAATTATTAGATAAAAAAAATCTTTATAAACCCCGGATATTAAAATATACTATATAAAGACTTTAATCTTATTAATATAGATTATTATAAAAAAATATTAAGAAACTAAATTAACTAGTAATAAAAATATATATTAATATTAAATATATTATATATTATTTTTAATATTAAGTAGTCTTTTTATAATTAATTAATAAAAATACTATTAAATATATTCTATATTATTTTAAAAATTCTATATTTAATATCATATATAACCAAAACTTTAATAAATAATTTAAAGTTTATATTAATACTTTATATATAAATAATAATAATATAAAATCTATAAAAATCTATATTATTATTTATATAAAATCTCCGATATTATAATTTATATATAAATAAATAGTCTTAATATTTTTATCTATATTTACTAAATATATAATATTCTATAAAATATTTTATAAAACTATTTTTTTATATAAGTCTGCTATAAAATTATGTGAGGGCAGCCCAGCAGGCATCGCCAACCCAACCTACCTTACTAATCCTATTTAATATCTTTATTATATTTGTTTTATTTACCTATCCGGTCGCTCTACAATAAATAAACCGCGGATATATATTTCTTTATTTTTATTTTTTTCTTCTTCTTTTTATATTCGAAGTTTTATGTTATTAGTATTAGATTAGTAGAAAATAAACTAATTTAATCAGTCCTAATATAATTTTAAATCTTACTTTACTTCTACTTCTTTTTTAAAACTTTCTATAAATAAATATATAAAAAAATATATATTTTTATTATTTTTAAAAGTTTCCTTTTTCTTATACAAGTCGACGGCAATAACAGTTAATCTTAGAAAATATCTATTTAAAAAAATATAAATCTAAAATTATAAATCCTAACTAAATTTCTATTACTATAGCTGTAGACTGTACAGTAACTAAAAAATAAAAAAAATTTAATTTAAATTCTAATATATAACTGGATTATTATTAAAATTAAAAGAATTTTATTACTGTAGCCCGCAGACTATATAAAACTAATAAATAAAAACCAGATTTTAGAATAAGCTGAATCCTAAACTAACTAATATTAAAATTAAAATATTAAGAATAATTATAATAGCGCGAAATATATTAAAAATCAAGCTATCTAAAAAAAAAACATAAAAATCAATCCTATTTATAAATAAAACTAATAAGACTTCCAAAAAAAATATTATATCTAAAGAATTTTATAATCTTTATAAAAAGAACCTTATACATATCTTTAAATTAATATTAAAAATTTATAATAAAATTAAAAAAAAAAGATTAGTAATCTATTGACCGAAGCAGATAAGCTAAAAAAAGCCTAATTTAATTAAAAATTAATTAAAAAGTCCTATCTTATAATATTAATTTATTAGAAACAAAAAAAATACTTTAAAAAATAAAATAATCTAAGTTAAAATATAGTAAAATGCTATATTAATCCTAATAATTAGTATAGGCTAAAAAGTCTTAATCTCTAAAAAAACCATAAAATTTTCCGATCCCCTGATATTTAACAATAAAAAGAATATTACTTTTAAAAACTAAAAACTCGCAGTTAAGCAGAAATTTAAAACTAATATTAATTATTATAAAAACCCGGCTATATAAAAAATATATATTACTAGCTGCTGCAAGAACAATATCTATAAATATTTATTTTTTAAATTATAAATTAAAGTTAAATATTTTTTTAAAAATATAATAAATATTCTATCTTACTTAGCTATAATCTACATCAACCCGAACCGAAAGTAGAATATCTAACTAAAGTATATATATCTTAAAATAATTCTAAAATAAAAATTCTATAATTTTTATATCTAGTTTTATTATCTGGCCGGTAAAGTAGATATTTTAGTAGATTTTTAAAAATTTAATCTTTATTAAAAACTACTTCTAAAGCTTAAAAAACTAATTTTTATTAAATTTTATAAGTCTGATGTTGATTTTAAATAATATACTATTATATATACCAGAATTTCTAAAAATATAAATAAAAATATAAAATATTACCGCTGAATCTTACCCGCAAATTATAAAAGTAATTTAAGTAGTAGAACTATTTTAATAATTAATAAAAATAAAACTAAAACCCTATTTAAATCTTATATAAATAAAAAAACCCGCGTTATATTACTAGCTAAAAAAAATACTTCTATTATAAAAAACCCAGATATCTAAGTTATAACTATCTAAAAAAATACTTTTTATTAAAATAATAAAAAAAACTAAATCTAAAAATATATTAATAAAAAACTTAGTTTGGAAAAAGTCTTTGTCTTAAATATAATAAATATTAACCAGTAGTATATTAATCTAAGAATATTATTAAAATTTTTTAAAAATAATTTTATAATTAAAATCCTAATTTTAAAAAATATAATAGCTGTTTTTATTCAAATTTTAATAAATATTAAAATAAATATTTATACTTATATTAATACTAAGTTTATAATTAAAATAGAAATATTTCTTAAAACTAAGTTATTTAAACTATAAAATATCTAAAATATAATTAGATTTAATAAAAAATTCTCTACTTCTCTAATATACATAATTTATTTTAATCTTATAGTAGAAAAAATTTTTTTTTAAATAAATCTTCTTTCTAGTACTAGACCTAGAATCTTATAATATAATCTTAGAAAAATTATAGCTAATAAAATAAAAAGTCTTACTAAACTATTATATAAACTAACTTATATAGTCCGAAAAGCTTTTATTTAAAAATAAAATCTAAGCCAAACTTCTATAAATAATTTTCCCTAGAATTATTAGATATTAAAAAATAAACCAGATATACTAAAAGAATATTAAATAAAAAAATAAATTAATTATTAAAACTAAAAAATAAATAATAAATAATTTTTTTTACTAAACTATTAAAGCACCTCCGTTTAAAATAATTAATAACTAATATATAATATTATTTTTATTTATTATAAAATATTAAAATAATTTACAAATCATAACCCGCCTCCGGATAAAAAAATAATTAAAAAATACTATAATAAAAACTTAAGTTTTTTATTTTATTTATAGACTATATAAAGACCGGATAAAAGCAGAATTTATAGTATAAACCAAATCTAAATACTATATAAAATAAATAAGATATTATACCCTAATAATAAAAAAAAATATAAAAATAAGCTTATAGACTGATAAACTAAAAGCTAAGTAAAACTAAAAACAGCTAATCTAAAAATAATATTAATTAAAATAACCGGCTTTTAGTAATATCTAAGAAAGTTAAAATTAAAAATCTTTATTATATCTCTATAAAAAATTAAAAAAATAATCAACGAAAAAATAAAACTAATATTTATTAAATAAAAATAATAAAAAATTATCAGAATTCTTCTTTTCTAATATTATAATCTAACTAAAATATTTTTTAAATAAGTCTTAAATATTCTACTACTATTCTGTATCTATAACTATAAAATCTAGCTTAATAATAAATTTTTATTAAAATTCTCTCTACTATATAAAATAATAGCCGAAGAATTAAAAACTATAAGATATTATATTATTAAAAATCTAAATAAAAATTTTATTATCCCGAGCTCAGCTTTTTTTATATTATCTATTCTAATAGCTCGGAAATCCGGAGAAGGTTTTTATATATATATAGATTATCGAAAGCTTAATATATTAACTAAAAAAAATCTATATTTATTATTTTTAATTAATAAGATTATTAACTAACTAAAATAAACTAAAATATTTACTAAATTAAATATTAGATAAAATTTTTACTATATTTATATAGATCCCGACTTAAAGAATCTAACTATTTTTTAGATTTAATATAGTATATTTAAGTATAAAATTCTCTTCTTTAAACTAATAAATAAACCAGCTGTATTTTAAAGATTAATAAATAAGATTATATATAAATATCTAAATAAGTTTATAACTATATATATTAATAATAATTTTATTTTTAATAATAATTTTTTTAGATACTAAATCTATATTAGATTAGTTTTTAAAAGACTATATAAAGCCGGTCTATAAACTATTATTTATAAATATAAATTCTATATTATAAAAACTAAGTTTTTAGATTTTATTATCTCTACCAACAAAATATAAATAAACCCAGAGAAGATAGTAGTTATTAAAAAGTAAAAAGTTCTAAAAATAATTTATAGAATATAATTATTTTTAGAATTTTATAACTTTTATTATTACTTTATTAAAAATTATAGTAGATTAGCCTAACTATTAATACTGCTTATATATAAAAATACTTTTTTTATATAAAATAAAAAATATCAGATAGTCTTTAAGTTTCTAAAAAAGATTTTTATTTTAATACTAGTACTAATCTACTATAATCTGCTTTTTTCTACTAGATTAGAAACCGATACTATAAATAAAACTATTATAAAAGTTTTTATTTAGTATATTAATAACTAATAATATCTAGTTTTATTTTCTTAAAAACTATAATATCTACCAAAAAAAACTATAATATTTATAATGAAAATACTTGCTATTATAAGATCTATAAAAATTTAGAAAGCAGAACTAAAAGGTTTTTAATATAAAAGTTTTTTTAAAATACTTATAGATTACCGAGTACTAGAGTACTTTATAACTTTAAAAAAACTAAATATATAATAAATAAAATAAACCAAATTCTTATTTAGATACTATTTCAGAATTTAATATAGATTTAAAAAAGCTAATATTTTAGCTGATATACTTATTTAATAAAAGAAAATCTTTAAACCGTCCGACCAAAAATATGATTAGATTATATTATAATTTAAATAAATAGACTTAGAGATATTATAAATATTATAACTATCTATTCTAATTTTATTAAATAAAAAACTATTATTAACTAATTTAATTCTTTATATTAATTATAAATTAACTAAACTTAGCTAAAAAAAATACTACTAATCTAAATAGTTTATACTTTCTTTAAAACAGATTACTATTATATAAAAAATATCTAATAATATCTACTAAAAAAGATCTATATATAAGATTATTAAATAAAATATACTACCAGCTATCTATTATATATTCAGAATAGATAAAGATTTTTAAACTAGTTAAATAATATTATTATTAGAATATTTAGAATAAAAATACCTGCTGATATTTAAATAACTATATAATCTATAAATATAAGAATTATTAAAAAAAACTATTATAAAAACTATTTTAATCTTTTTCTATCACTAACCAGCTATAATAGTATATATTTATAGATTTTTATATACTATTAAAAAATATGCAGAAACACAATACTATATATATAATAGTAAATTAATTTTTTAAATAAATAGTATTAATTCTATATACTAAGAATATTATCATATAAAATATAGCCTGGTTATTTATTAGATTTATTTATATTTAAATCAGATTCTTAAATACTATTATTTTTAATAAAAGATTTGAATTTATCTTAGAATTCTAATAAAAATTCTATTATATTTTTTAAATTAAGTTAAAATTTTTTATAATATACTACCTCCAAACCAATAGATAGACTAAGAATATAAACTAGTATCTAGTCTAAAAACTAATCCTATTTATTAATAATTTTTATAATAATTAATTAAAACTGTTATTAATAATAGACTTTGCTGTAGTATATCTATTATATATATTTTTTAGAATATTCCTATTTTAAGCAGAATATAGATACTAGCTCCGACTATTCTTTAACTAAAAACTTCTAATAAATATTAAATAAAAAAATATAAATATTATCTATACCCATAGTACCGCGACCTCCTTTAAAAATATTTAGAAATTTATTAAAACTAATATTACTAATTCTTAGAAATAATAAGCCACATAGACTAATTATTATTAAAAAAAAACTTTAATCTAAGCTGAAAGTAAAGTCTATATCGATTATTTTAATTAGAACTAGAAACAACTATTTAAAAAATTAGCTGATAAATAATACAGCCTGTATAAAATTCTAAAATAAAAAAAATATATTTTAAATATAATTATCTGCTAATATTAGAATATACTTAATATTTTATTCTAAGAAACTTTAACTTATATTAATAAATAAACTAATATTAGACTAAACCTAGGATTAGACAGAGCCGATAAATATAAATAAAAATATAAAATATAAAATAAAAAAAATTCTTAATTTTTATATATATTAAAAGTATCTAATATATTATATTAAATAAAAGAACTCGAACAAAGCAGACCTATTCTAATATTTAGTAAAAAATTTAAAAAATATTTTTATATTTTTAAAAAAGTTTTATAATTCTTATTTAGAGAGCCCCGGTTTTTTAAAATATCTGTAAGCCTGGCTGAAAATAGCTGTAAAAAAATCTTTAATTCTAACTATTTTAATAATAACTTTATTTTAAATCCTATAAAATATATACAGCCTATAGTTATATTATAAAAGTAATTCTAAAAAAGACTATAAAAATACTTCTTATTTATAAATAGTTAAAACTAACCCGGAAGATAATATAAAAACAGCCTGATAAATATTACTAATCTAATCTATTTTACTAATTCTATTTAATATTTTTATTATATTTATCTTATTTGTCTATTAGGTCGTTCTATAATAAATAAACTATAAATATATGTTTTTTTATTCTTATTTTTCTTTTCTTCTTTTTATATTCGAAATTTTACGCCATTAGCACCAGATTAGTAGAGAATGAACTGATTTGATCGGCCCTGACAATTAGGTCTATCTGTTAATAAAAACATAATTATATATATAGATTTTAATAATATAATTAATTTTATTTATATATCTACAGTTTTAAAGTCAATACAATAGATTAATATTAGATTATTTTATATAAAAATATATATTAGAATAATAAAATAGATTTCTAATATATTAATATAAAAAAATCTTATAAATAATCTTACTAAACTACTTTCTATAACGGACTTTATATTATTTAAATACTTATTTAAATAAATAATTTAAATATTATTTATATTATTTTATATATTTTAGTAATATTACTATATAAAAAACTAATTATATTTTTTATAATTATCCTACTAATAGTAGTTATTAATCCTATTTTATATAACTACTCCGATGTCTTAATACCAAGAAAATAGTCTGTTTTTTTATTATAGTAATTTTATATAGTTTAAATAGTTTTAGAGTATTTGAACCTTACAGCAAGCTAAAAAAAAATATATAAAGTACTTAGCCTTCTATTAACTAGATAGCTTACCGTCTTCGGCCGGTAGTTAGATAGGTGTCCAGATAGCTTGAATCCATCTTTCTTCACGCTCTCCTCACACTGTTTAGCCTCGGCAGCCACTTTCAATGCCCTCAAACACTTCAATTCTTCAACATCTCAATACTCTCTGCCTGATATCATTTTAATGGTTCTTCGGTCCCACACTCCGGCATATGCAGCTTCGAGTTAGATGGGAGCTCAATATCGTCGCTGCGTACCTCAAGGTAAAGATGTCTATTTTCAGTTCGCCCTCATCACCCCACAACGGCACAACGGCATTTTATCAGGCACGATACAGTTTACCAGCTTGAAAGCCTCATGTGATTCAATCACCGCTATACGAGAGCTAAGACAACACCCTGAGAGGGTCTCTTCAGCAGGTTACCAAAAGGCTTACCAAGAAGACTTGTAATTTGAAAGTTAGCCCCGACGGACAGCCGACTAAGCTTTGCCCCGCTTCCGATCGCATCCCAGACAGGCAAAGATGGCCCCTTTCATTTCCAACAGGGCCCTGGGTCAGGGACCACTCTCCCAAAAGGGCAGCTCCCATTCGGGTTCTAAACAAGTTGAATCCTTCTGGGCGGGCTGTGCAACGCCTGGGCCATGATGACTGGATCTTTTGTCGGCCCCCAATGCTACCAACCAACACTTGGGGCATAGCAGGATTGCCCATGAAACACCTAATGCCAAGAAGCGAGTCAGTTGTGGAGACAACCCCCCCACCACCCCTTGCATTCCAGCTGCTTATTTATCTTCAGGGTCTGATCACTCAGTCTGCACGATCTGAATCCATGCAAACCAGAAAACACACACCAGAATGCTTGTCAACCTAGGTGCTTTGGCTGGCTTGCTTGCCGTCGGCCACGCCGCGGCCAGCGGGAAACGCGCCACCGAGGCTGCAGCATACAGCTCCAACTCGGCGGGCAACTACAAACTCAGCTCCATCGCTGCCCCCGTGCAGGGCAACGGCAGTCCCGGCTCTGCGTCTACCTGGAAGCTCACCGTCGACGACACTGCGTCTGGCCACCGGCAGACCCTCAATGGCTTCGGGGCGGCCGTCACCGACGCCACCGTGACATCCTTCAACACCCTGAACCAAGCCACGCTCCAACAGCTGCTGAACGAGCTGATGACCACCGACGGCGCGAACTTCTCTCTGATGCGACACACCATCGGCGCCTCCGACCTCTCCGGCGACCCAGCCTACACCTACGACGACAACAACAACGCCGCCGACCCGTCGCTGACCGGCTTCAACCTGGGCGATCGGGGTACCGCCATGGCCAGGCTTCTCGCCACAATGAAGACCCTGCAGTCCAGCCTCACGATCCTGGGCTCCTCCTGGAGCCCGCCGGGGTGGATGAAACTCAATGGCGTCATCGACGGCAGCACGACCAACAACAACCTGAACGACGGGTACCTGACCAGCGGCGGCACAGGCAGCACGGGCTACGCCGCGGCCTTTGCCCAGTACTTTGTGAAATACATCCAAGCGTACACCACATTGGGAGCCCCGATCGACGCGATCACCATCCAGAACGAGCCCCTGAACAGCCAAGCAGGCTACCCGACCATGTACGTGTATGCATACGAGTCCGCAGACCTCATCGAGAAATACGTCGGCCCCGCCCTGGCGCAAGCGGGCCTCGACACCAAGGTCTGGGCCTACGACCACAATACCGGTACTTGCCCCTTCAGACTACCTTTCTCATCTCCCATTCCCACCACCGCCCACTAACAAGCATGAAGACGTCCCAAGCTACCCGCAAACCATTCTCTCCAGCGGCGCGAGCACCTACGTCCCCGCCGTCGCGTGGCACTGCTACGCCAGCAACGTCGACTGGACCGTCCTCTCGAGCTTCCACAGCACCAACCCAAACACCGAACAGTACATGACGGAATGCTGGACGCCCGCGTCCGGGGCGTGGCACCAAGCCGCGGATTTCACGATGGGCCCGCTGCAGAACTACGCCGCGGGCGTCATGGCCTGGACGCTGGGCACCGACGCCGACGACGGGCCGCACCTCTCCTCGGGCGGGTGCGCCACCTGCCACGGGCTCGTCACGGTGAACAGCGCCACGAGCTACACGCTGAACACGGCGTACTACATGATGGCGCAGTTCAGCAAGTTCATGCCCCCCGGGGCGGTCGTGGTGAGCGGGACGGGCAGTTACACGTATGACAACGGGGGCGGGGTGCAGTCGGTGGCCTCGGTGAACCCGGATGGCTCGCGCACGCTGGTGATCCAGAATACCTTTGGGAATGATGTGTACGTGACGGTGACGTTGGGGTCGGGCGGGGTCTGGAGTGGGAATGTGCCGCAGGAGTCGGTGACGACCTGGGTTTTGCCTGGTTGAGAACCATACCTTTTTTTTCTCTTTTGATGCGTGTGGGGAGGGGGGGTCTGGATCGCTTTCCTCTTAAGGGGCGCATTGGATGACGATCTATGCAATCATTTGTGGATTTCCAATTCGGGTAACTTGGCATACTACTTTTACGCTTCAACCGCATCAATCATCCTCTTGACGCTGGAAAATACAACCCCTCCCTCACACCCCCCCACTCGGCCCCTTCGTGATTCTTCGGAGTTACTACTCAGGGGGAATGGGGAAATACCCTTTGTATAACAACTCCTGTGAAACAGCTGGCAGGGTCATGTGCCGACGATCCGGTGGTCAATGTAGATTGAGTGCGCGTGGTTGCTTCGGCGGGACAGGAATCCACGAATTTCAGATATCTGCCATCAGCGTCGCTGACGTAAATTCTGGCGTAGGGGGGATTGTTCGTGATGCTGGCGGAGAGGCAAAGGGAAGAAGGGGGGCAGTCCAAATTTGGTCTTCGATGTTGATGATTTTGTTTGGGTACGACAGGGCCGACCTATTCAGGAAAAGCCAAAGCGCTTGACTCCTGCTGCTTTTGGCGGCTTTGATGAGGAGGATTTGGAGTTTGATGTGTGGGCAGGTGAGACCAAAGATCAAGATGTCGAAAACGCTGAGTTGAGCGACGAGGTTGAGTGGATGTCGCTATGTTGTGGCTCATGATGCGGACGCTGAGGGTTTGAAGGGCTGGTGGGCTTACAGGGCTGATTTGTCAAGGATGAGTACGTGAAGGATGTGAGCAGAGGTGTGTGGCAGTCAACAATGTCCTCACTAAGAAGAAAAAATGGATGAGACGGATATCACATGCTCTCCTATGTGGGCTCGGGTGTTATAAGTGAATACAAGTCTAATCGCTCCAGGATTGAAGCCCTCTACAGGTTTTTCTTCGAGCATGCACTATAAGTGTATACTTGATCGTGTGTAAAGTAGCTTCAAGTAGCCTCACTTGGGCGGTTGAGAACTTCTCTCTCCTCCTCCCATTACTAACTTTCTCACTCTACATTGAATACTGGATCCCCTGCCTCACAGCCTCAGAGGCACATGTATCGATTGAATCCGTCGTCGCTTTCCAGAAACCCGTTCTATTCAAGAGAACTTCTTCAAGCCCTCAGTGGCCCGCCGACTCAAGCAGTCTTCCACCGCTCGCTGCAGGCCCTCCTCCAGCCCCACCACCGGCCGATACCCAAGCCGCGTCTTCGCCTTGTCGATGCAAAAGTACCGCGTCATACAGCTGAGCCGCACTTTGGTCCGGGTCAACGGGGGCTGGCCCAGACCCAGTGCCCAGAAGACCCACTCCAGGAAGCCGGCCAGGCGGAATGCCCACGGCCGTGGGATCACCCACACCTGCTCGCGCCGCGTCGTATCCCCTGCGAACCTCCACACCAGCCGCGTGAAGTCCCAGAAGCATCGCGGCTCGTCGTTGGATATGAAAAAGGCCTCCCCATCTACCTTTGTCGTGTCATCATCGTCATCATCGTCACGATCCTCATCCGGCGAGTCGGGACTTTTCGAGAGTTGGGCCAGCAGCGCCGCGGCAGCCAGGTAATGCGCGTGCGCGACATTCGTGTTCTCGGTAAAGTCGAAGCGGTTCTGATTGTCGCCGATCTGCCACCTGGTCTGACCGCGGAAATACGCGTCCAGGATGCCCGGGAGCACGACGAGGTCGCCGACACCGAAGATGCCCGAGGGCCGGATAGCGCAGGTTAGGAAGGGGTTGGAGGCTCGGCGCTGGTTCTGGGACAGCACATAGGACTCTGCGAGGGCCTTGGTGTAGACGTAGAATTCCGGCTGTTGCCCCTCCTCGAGGAGGACGGGGAAGGTCTCGTCGGCGTTTATCAGATCCGTCTGGGCGTCGCTGATGACGCTGGCTGAGCTGGTGTATACGAAGCATTGAGTGCCCGCTTCTCGCGCAATCTGGAGGAGGGTTCGGGTGCCCTCCACGTTGACTTTGTACATGATGGGGTTCGGAGAATCGAACTTCGGGCTGGCGGTATGGATGACGGTCTCGGGTTGCACATCTTGGAACAGTTGGCGTATCGCGTCGGCGTCAGTCAAGTCCCCGGTATGATAGCTCACTCCGGGGAGATGGTGAGATGGTTCTCGAAGGTCAAGGGAGTGGAGATGGTTGCAGCCACGCTCCGCGAAGAGCTGGAGGATCCGGCTGGCGAGGCCCCCGGATCCACCGGTAACAAGGACCGTGCTTCGGCTCAAGTGGGTGTGTCCCTCGGCCATGACCATTGTGGGTGGTCGGAAGGATGGATGACTTTCAGACTGTATATATAGATGACTATGACCTATGGCGGAGACGACTGGGTGTTGTTGGAAGGAGGGAGATAGTGCAACACAAAACAAAACAAAGGGGCAAATTGTGAGTGTAAGCGGCTCATCACTTTGCCGACATTTAGCGGAATTCCGACCCGACAAAAGTACTGTATATTAACTTACTGTGCAGTACAATAGTATCCTTACTCTTGTATGTACCAGTTTACTAGTGCCGTAGCCTCCCCCCCCCCCCAAAAAGAGAGAAAGAAAGAAAAATCAACTCAATCAAACTGGATCCACATAGTATGCGGAAAGATGCCACCTCATGCTACAAACGCCTTCCGTCTCCCTCCCGGCACGGGCCTTGCCGCTGTCTACAGCGTGTTGTTTCTTTTGAGATATCACAACCCAGTCATCTTTTCTTTCTCCTCCCGATGGAATCGGGAACGGTGTCTTCCTCCCCAAAGTCTTCTCGCCGAGACTTGCTGTTTGCGTCAAAGTAAGGCACTTCACGGGCATTCCTTGCGGTCCTAACATACGTTGTCATTCAGATTTTCCGGCGTACTACGGAAGTTTGGTCTATGCAGTGGAGAAAGTGGAGACACTGTCTCCTCTCTTGGAGACTCGAAACCATGAGGCCTCGTCTTATATGAGAGTCCTAATACCAGAACTGGGAGGGAGACCATCTGAGTCGAGCTTTCTCAGAAGATAGAATTTAAGCAGAGTACTTACTGCTTCCATAGAAGAGATGATGTGATCTGGAAATCTGTCAATGAGCTTGATAAGATGCCATTCCGTAAAGGTCCATGGAGAAGGCGTGGCTGAAAGCTGGAGGTGTGTGATCTATGGTGGGAAGCAAAAGAGCCCCATCTGTATAAACAGAACTGTTGAGGCGGTATCAAGAGGTATTCATTTTGTGCACATGATCTTTTCTTAAATGATGTTTGATATCTCAAGCTCTTAGAGCGTGATGAGCACTCCAAATTCGTCTCCAACATCCACCAAGAACTCCCGCACCCACAAATCGCAGACCAAACCACATCAATCAACATCAGAACCCCAAAACATAACCCGAAGCCCTTGAGATCAATACACCAAGCACCAACAAAAGCAAACCCCCCCACCCCCAAGCCCCAAAGACATGCACAATTCACCCCCCGAACCCCGCCAGATTCCCACAAAACCGCTCCACCAACCGCTCCGCATCCTCCCTTCGAACCCACCGACTCGACACCGAAAACATCACCGAAAGCACATCCCGCTCGGGCCACGTCGTCAAAAAGATAGTCTGATCCGGCGGATTGGAGAGGATGGGCGACAGCATCTTCCACCTCCGCCCGCCACCCAAATCCACCTCGGGCTTCGCGTCGAAGTTCTCGTGCAGCACGATCGAGCTAACGGTACTCGTTCCACCGTTCCTCGTCCAATCGGTGCACTGGGTGACGATCTCTTGCCATTGGCAGGTGCTGTATTCCAGGGACTGGGCGTGTTGGGCCTGCACGGTGGTAAGCAGGGCATGCGCCCCCTTCTGTGACTTGTCGGGAGTAGCCGGGGAAGGAGGGAAGCCGACGCGGACGGGGATGATGTTCAGACAGGGCCCGATCAGGGTGTCGAGGTCGGGGAGGTCGATGTCCCGGGCGTTGACGAGCTGGGCGAAGACGATATCTTGGGAGTGGGTCTCTTGGTGTAGCGCGGTGGCCCAGGCGGCTTTGATGAGGGTGGCTGTTGTGATTCCCTGCGGGAGCGGGGAGGGTAGCGGGACTGTGCGCGTGAGGTGTAGGGTTTTGTCTTCTGCTGGGTGTGGCCGTGATGGGTCCGGGGAGGGTTGGGGAAGGTGGAGGTTTGTGAGGATTGACCCGTCGAGGAGAGTGCGCCAGAAGGTTAGGGCTTGTGGGGTGCGGAGTTGCCGGCATCGGCGGGTGTAGTCTGCGTAGTCGGTGCGGAGTGGCTGCGCCGTAGCGGTGTAGAGGCTCGCCAGGTGGTGGAGTAAGGGGCGAAGGGAGAGGCCGTCGTACTGCGCGTGGCTGAGGCGCATGATGAGAATCGGGGGCTCTGGTTTGTGGCTGTCTTGGGCTTGGATGAGGGTGAATTTGACGATGGGCTGAGTGGTCTGGTGCCGGATTTGGCGGTCTTGCATTGCGAGCGAGCGGGCGATCATATCCAGGCTTTGGCTCGCACTAGTGGAATGCACGACCTCGAAGGGAGGATTGATGTCGCGCAGCACAATCTGCATGCATTGGTCCTGGTATGGGAGGAAGATGGTTCGGAGAATGGGATGCTTTCGGACAAGGGCTTCACATGCCTGACGCAGTTGACATGTATCGAACGGGCCGGTGAGCTGCCAGAGGAGATAGTCTTGGATCTCTTCCTGAGAATACAGACCCTGGATTTCTCTGGCAGGGAGGGCGTCTTCGACGAGGTCCGGGTTTAGGCCCTTGGGCAGGTTGCGGAGGAATCCTTCCTTAATTGACTCGAACGGGTCTTGGGCAGCTGTTGGAGGGCTTGGGTCCATGTCGTCTGAGCTTGGCTGCTGCACGCGCAGTGCCAGGTGGCTCAGAGTAGGCTCGCTAAGACAATCTACAAGGGACAGGCCCCAGCCCTCGGCACGGACCATGGCCACCAGCCGCCGGGCAGAGAGAGAGTCACCCCCCAGGTCTATAAAGTTATCGTCCATGCTCACGGAGGACAGGTTGAGGCCCAGCAGCTCCGCACAAACGGCCTGCAACACGCGCTCGGGCTCCGTAGCAGGCGACCGATAGGACTTCGGAGCGGTGGTATAGCTGGCCAGTTGCTTTCGAGATAATCTCGATGCGGCCTCACACAGAGCAGCGCGACTCAATTTCCCGGATACGGTACGAGGGAAGGTTGTGACAGCCACAAAGGCCGAGGGAACCATATACCCTGGAAGGACCTTGCGCACCTCTGCCAAGGCACGTTGCACCAGGAGACGAAACTCCGGTGTCGGTGCCCCGAAGACAGCGGTGGCATTCCGTTGGATCCTCTCCTTTGCGCTCGTCAGGACAAAGGCCACTAGGATCAGATGCTGTTCAGCGCTCTCATCAACGGGATGCACGAGATCGACGACCAGATTCCCGGAGTCCGGAAAGTGGGTGCGTAGATGGAACTCGACTTCTCCCAGCTCGATTCGCTGTCCACGAATCTTCACTCGATTGCCCTTGCGGCCGCGGAACTCCAGTGATCCAGTACTGGAGTTGTAGCGGACCAGATCGCCGGTTTTGAGCAGCTGCAAGCCCATTCCGATCTCTTGCGGTTGCATCCAGCTTGGATCCTCGATCAATGCTGCCCTCGTCTGGTGAGGGCTGTTAACATAGCCTCGAAACATTGAGGGACCCGAAACAACCAGCTCCCCCTCTGCCCCAATGGGCATCAATTGATTATGATCTTGGGGATCCACCACCCAAGCATGGCAACCCACAGCCGGTCCAAGGGTACTAGGTCCGTCCTCCCCTTCAGCGTCAGACTTTCTCGCCAAGGTAATGGCGGTACAAAACTCCGACTGCGCGTACAGGTTGTAGACATCGGCCTGGCCGGCCCACTGGCGCAGGTCGGTCCGGCCCATCGGTTCGCCCGCCAGCAAAACCGATTTCACGGACGGGATTGCGGCAGGATCAATGGTCCTGGCCACGGAGGGCGTCATCATTGTCCAGGTGACGCCGTATCTTCGCATCGCGGCCGTGACAGATTCTTGCAGTTCCGAATCGGAGGGAATGCAGACGCAGCCGCCCACTGACAGGGTCAGGAGATTCTCGAGGATGCTGACGACGAATCCGTACGATGCGCCGTGCAGCACTCGCGAATTACTGGTCAGATCCGATAACTCGCGATACCGGGTGTAGTTGCAGGTGAAGGCTGCGTGTTCGATCAGGACGCCCTTGGGCTCTCCGGTGGAGCCGGATGTAAAAGTGGCGTAGGCGACATGACGGCCTTGCATGGTGGGTGGGTGGAATTCTTCTTCCTCGTTGTCTGTCACAAGGTAGCGGTCCACCGCCGCGAATGTCACCACAGGGGGTCCCAAATGCCTGGCCTTAGAAGCATGCTTATCAACAGACAGGATCAAGTGGGCATCTGCTTTGCTGCAGATGGTGACGAGTCGATGCGTGGGCTGAGACGGGTCCAGGAACGCGATGCCCGCCCCGGCTTTGAGGGCCCCGAGCACCGCAATCGTCGTCCACATGGACCGGTCCGTCAGGATGAAGACGAGCCGGTCCGGTCTCACGGCGTGGTGCACCACTAGCTGGCGTGCCAGACGGGAGGCTCGCTGGTTCAGCTCTTCGTATGTCAATTCGCCGTCCCAGGCGCACACGGCGGGGGCCGACGGCCGCTGCCGGCACCGGCGCTCGACGAGATGATGAATGCATGTAGTTCCTTTCTCCGGGAGGAAGATACGATCGTTCCAATCCCGGATCTTCTGCATATCGCTGGCATTGATCGCCCGAAGCTCTCGGACCTGCGAGGCGCTACCATCCCGCGCGCAGTCGAAGGCAGAGGCCAGTTGATCCAGCATCGAGTCCACCACGAAGTCTTCCAAAACACGACGATCAAACTGCGCGTGGATCGACACCCTGTCAGAACCCACGGTGCAGGTGATCGTCAAGGCGTAGGGATGGCCATTGGGGTCGAGGAAGCTCGTAACACGACTGCCAACCGCTCCCCGCCGGATAACGAGCAGGTTGTTGAAAGTGCCAATCTTCGCGGCGTCAGGGCTCATGGTGCGCAGCTCGGTCAGACCGATCTGCTCTAATGAGGGAACTAGATCCTGGAATTGAGCGATCCTTGCCGTTGCGGCGGCGAGGGTGTCCTCCGGCTCCAGTAGCAGGCGACAGGGAACGAGCGACTCCGACCCTTTGCCGGTACCGTGGCTGTCATCGATCAGCCCGAAGAGCACGTCACTTGCGTTAGTGTATAACGACAGCACCGTGGCCCAGCTCAAGCAGAGCAGGGCTGAGATATTATCATGCGAACTTCTCGTAGATGCTCCCAGCGTCCTTACTCTTCGAGCATGGCTGTCCGGCGACGCACGAT